GGCGCCAATGCGTCATTTTTTTTATGGCAAAATGTAAATTTATTATAAGAGCATCAAATTACATAAATATCAAAACTCCCTCGAGACTTTCCAGGTAAAACTACCTATCGCTTGGGGTAATGAGACAAGAAAGCATAAAGTGATCTTGCTTCATGAGAACGCTTGACTTCACGTCACAAAACTTGTCAAGGAAACCCTTTGTTGAGAAGTGCTACCCTATGCGGTTCAACAAACTGTGCCCCTTCCGACTATCACTTTTTTCGGTCGATGGCACTCGCAATTTCATTTACAAAGGAACATTTCAACTCATATTTACAAAAGCGTCGAGAAATGAATTTCTAACTGGATAGTCTCCGGATGATGAAGCCCCGAAGGCGGTAACGGTCCGTCTCCACCGTCGCTCATGGGTCCGCCAAGCATCCCTGGTGGGAGTGCCAACTGTGGTGGTCCTCCATGCAAGTCATAGCCGTGCATCTGCAATTATTGTAACAACACTTGACTTTTCCGAGTAAAGACAATTCCTGGCATTCTTCTGTGAATATATACTGTGGCTACCAAAAATAATTTCCAGTCAATTAAGTGATTTTATTAGGGGAGAATATTCTAAATCGGATCGTGTTCTATATCAAACCTTTTTAATTTAAATAAATACGGTTAAGCAGATTTGAGTACTATTTTTGTAAAATCCTTATAAGACACCGAACATGTGACAATAGTTTGGCAGTACTCTATCATAACGTTCATAGAATAGACGCAAATATGTATTTTCGACTATTATGCGAAAGTTTTTTTAAAAATAAAAATCCTTGTAAATCATTATTTAAAAGATGTTAAAAATTTAAACGGTAATTGATTTAAAATAATTAAAGAGTGTAGAATTAAAAAATATCATGAGTTTTGTGATTACTTTTGCGGTTTATTGTAAAATTTGTTCCAATAGTTCGAAAGAACCCGTGTCTAAATCAGACCTCTCTTTGGGTGTCCAAATCGGACCAATACAAAAAACACTAAAAAAAACAAGTAAGCCAGCTAATTCATCGAAGAAAGAAGGTTTGCCACAACCTGATTGTTGTATTGGTGATCGACCGACCAGAGATCTGGTCTAAGGAACACTAAATCAATAAAATGTCATGTGTCATCAGAAAAAGATTGATGGAATTTTTTATTGACCTTAATTCTAATAATAAAAATTGTATTTTTATCTTTGAGTCTTAAACTGCTTGTTTTTACTCAGTACTAATAAAAATTAATTAAAATATTTTTAAATTCTATCTAAAAATCCATAAAAATAGAAATTTATAGTTCCAAATCATACCGAAAAATGCATTTTTACATTTTCTATTATAGTTCGACACAGGTAAGAGATACGTCAAAATGGTCTGAAGCAAAAATGAAGGAAATTAAATGATCTTTCGAACAACACTTTTGGTTTTTTGATTGGACTTTATTTACGTCTTATAGGGAACAAAACTGCTTATAGGTCCGATTTAGACCACTCTCCCCTACATTGGTCTAATAAAGAACTAGTATGCAAATACTGAAATATACTTTAGTATTTCAATCGTGTCTTTAAAATTAATTGTAATGTCCGCCGAAATTCACATATAGACGGCGAACGTCACGGGCAGCAACGCCGAAACGGTTGTCATGCCAACCCACAAGCGTTCCGCGTCACGAGTGTAATCATGCGCTCATCACGTGATGGCATACTCGATAACTATGTGCGCTAGCGCGCACCGTCAAACATTTACATCAATAAAAGGATTAATGATTAAAATACCGATAAATAAAAGAATGGAATCTGAATAAGAGTACATAGGCCTTATAGCAGTGCGCAAATGCAGCACAGAAGATTATTAGACTAAAGGAAAATTAAATATAAATAATATTATTCAGAAACCATAACTCGTAGATTTACAAGAATAGCATTAATCCAATGCATAGCCTGGATTGTCCATGTGGATATTCGAACAAGCACAAACAGTGAAATGAGCTAATAATAAATAAGGATGCCACCGATGACTGTAGTGATTTTGTCATAGTTCCTGGATCGTCGGCTAGTAACTTGAACGTTGTTATAAATAGATTATAAATAGAGTTCCACGAAAGAGCATTTTAAGTAGAAGTAGAAGAACAATTAAAGAAACCAGTACTACACGTCAATATAAATTTAGTACGGTTCAGTTGCTGGTACGAATTCTGCTCAGTCCCCAATCCAGCGTGACTACTAAAGGAACTCCTTGAAGCTCAGCTATTTCGCCTTCATGAGTTCAGAGTCTATTCCGCCCTGATCACGCCAAATCACTACACCAGCCAATCAAATAGGGACCTTTTATTTTCTTTTTCTTTTAAAACAATAAAAGTATAAAATAACCTATGTATTTGACATTATACATTGGTATAAAGGCTATAGAGTCATAGTGTTAGTTGTAATATAACTATACTTATTCAATCTAATTCGCAATCAGTGATCGCAATCTATTCCGGACGTTTCGGCAACAGTTTCTTGCCATCTTCAGCGATGATACAAATACATGTTTCGATTGGAAAAATATATATCCAAGAATAAACACAACCTTCGGCCAATAAAGTTCTTCAGCTTCTTGGTTACGGTATAGTTGTCTGAATCCTCAGATTAGTGCAAAAAAAATTTATATATGTATGAATCAAAAGCTTTTTCTTTTACATCTCCTCGGTTTCAATCTTGATGTTAAATTTTATTGCGCATTCGTTGTTTTTCAAGGAACTCCTTTCAACGGATAAATTTTATTAACATTCTACGGAGTCCTTGACATCACCATATTACTGCGGCGCAAATTGCTGAATCAGTAATCGAATCGTCATACTCACTCACAATTCCAATCTCATATTCTCCGACTCTAATATCTCAGATGACCTCCCCCTAGATTTGTCCACTCCCTCCATCTTTGATCCTTCCTCATTTTTAGATTTTCTAACTTATTCTCCTCCACCCATCTCTGCTGACCTGCACTTTTCCCCACGGTTCATTGGAAAAAGTCGCCCATTACCTACACCATATCCAGGATCTTACGGTCTAAAATAACTCTATCTTCCTGACCTCTAATCATTTTTCTCTATTCCTCCGATTTTCCAGAACTAAATGGTCTCCTAGAATTCAAATACCTTATATTTATGCGTTTCCTGAAGAAAGCGTCATAGTTCATATTCCCCGTATTCCCCTCCCTTTCCATATGCTTGTCAAATATTTTAGAGATATATATATATTTTTTTTATATTCCTAACTCCTCCAATCCCTCAAGGAACCATAGTTTTAATTAAAGAAAATTTCATCCCCTTTTTTCTTTCCTACACAACATGTACATATGTGTGAACACATATTTACTATATTGTAATAGTATTGTTTGTTTATTGCATATAAAATTTTACAATTATACACAAATGGCGAGGCGCCAGCAAATTTGCTGCTATAAAGCCTCCCAGTATAGTTGGTAGACAAAAACATTATTTCATAATTAAATTCACAATTTAATCATACTAGAAAGACTGACTGTAATAAATATGCGTCCGTATTCGACAGTAAAAGACGATACAATGAGGAACCGTTAAATTAAAAAATAACAAAACGAAAAGGCTTAGGTCAAATTGATGTTGACAATTTATCTAAAATATCCGCGTATACCTGATCAAGACCTTCTGTGTCAGTTTTTAAATTCAGACCATTATTTTGAGATTTAATATAAAGCATTTCCGATATTAAACGCTTATGGTAAAAATTTTCACTATCCAAAATTTTCACATTATTCCATTCAAAATCATGATTATGCTGCAACCTATGACGTCAAATGAATGCTCTTAACTGGATTTTCACCGACAAGAAGCCTTAATGCCAGAAATGTTTTTATAAAGTTATAAAAGTTCGTACTTATTATTTTATTAATATACTACGTTTTTATCTGCTAAGGGGTTACGGCTTCCACGAAAAGCGATTCTCTCCCTCATTTAAGGGGCCCATAACTTCCACGCGAAGCGACTTCTACCTCATCTATTTCCTGATTGAGGGGTACATTGATTTCTACGTGAAATGGGTACCATCACTCCCTCCCCACCATGGGTTTTCTTTATGAACATGGAGTAGGTTTTGTGGAAGTCAGGATTAATATAATCTCTCGAAAGTAGTTTATAGTGAGCTATGTAACGGTACATTTAGATAGTACGTAAGTTTACACAAACATTTTTGGCATTATACCATTTTATCGGTAAAAATTCGCTTAAGAGTGATTGTTTGACGTTATTTGGAGTGTTTTTGCTGAAATTCATGGCAATCAGGTGTTGGTCTTTTTCGGAAGTTTATTTACCACTTTTACCAGGATTATTTATGTTGACCAATTCTCATTTTTTTATATATGTTTTTAGAGCAAATTACAAATAAAGTATTTTGTATAGATCGACATTGTAGTGACATTTTTCCAAGAGAATAAAGACGCACAAAAAATCGAACGGTTCATGTGACGTAAACATCACTGTGCAGACGTCATGGCGCTAATAAATGTCTTAAAACTCTTATGTCAAATAAACTTTCAGTTATAGTATTACCGAAATTTAAATCATAATAATAAATCTAAATTATATCATAATATTGATACCGCAATTGTATAATACTAATGATAGAATTTTCAATTGCAACATGTCCGATTAGAATTAGATACATTTAATCTTGAAATCTTGAGTCTCTTAATCGGCAAAAATTATTTGTTATATGTCGAAATTTTAAACAATTTCACATGTATGTACGCTATGTCAGTTTGCGAGAACAAGTCAATGAGAAAATCAGACAGAGGGCACCCTTAGTGTCATGTCACATTACTTTTTGACAAGTAACATCTTTCACTTGATCAAATTTTGAGCGGAATTCATCGAGAGGTTTCATTTCTGTAGACGATTTAAGCGAATAATTAACCTTTGCATTTTTTGCAAAATGGAAAAAAAACGAGTTTTGCAGGGATTAAACATCTATACATATGAAAGATTTAACGCCAAAAGAAATCAAAGCCGAGTTCGATAATGTTCATAGCACATCTGCATCAGCGTTTGCGACTGTATACAATTGGGTGAATGAATTTAAACTTGGTCGTATATCCACATGTTATGCATCTCGTTCGGAACGTCCAATTGAGGCTGCTACGCCAGAAATCATCGATAAAGTCCACGATATTGTTTTAACTGATCGACGAGGAAAAGTGTGCGAGCTTGTTGTTGAGGCCATAGGTATATCACATGGAACAGTGATTTCAATTTTGCACGAACAGTTGAATATGAAAAAGCTATCGGTAAAATGGGTGTCGCGTTTGCTCACTGTGGACCATAAATGCGACCGTGTGACAATTTTAAAGCAATGTTTGAAGATGTTTCAACATTATTCAGATGAATTTTTGCTTCGACTAATTACTGTGGACGAAACATGAATCCATTACTTCACACTCGAAACGAAGGAATAGTCAAAACAATGGACTTCACTGGGTGAACCAGCTCCGAAGAAGAAGGCAGAGACCGTGAAGCTGGAAAAGTGATTACTACAGATTTTTTGGGATTCACGCGATATAATTCATATCGATTACCTTCCATCGAAGCAAACGATCAATGGTGATTATTACACAGCCTTATTGGATCGTTTCAACATTTTAAAGAAAAAACGTCCCCATTTGGCGAAGAAGAAACTGCTCTTACATCAAGACAATGCACGGATTTATACGTGCCCGGCACTGATGGCCAAATTCAACGAATTCCGTTACAAATTGCTTTTCCGTCCAATATTTGTTAAATTTAGCCCCCTGCGGCTACTTTCTGTTTCCAAACCTGAAGAAATGGTTTGGAGGAAAGAGATTCATCACCAGAGAGCAGCTCATCGCCGAAACGGAGGCTTATTATTTTAAAAGGTTGAACAAATCATATTATTTGGACGGCTTGAAAAAGTTGAAGAATCGTTGGATCAGATGTATTAAGCTATTTCGAGAAATAAAAATGAATCGATAAAAAAAAATGTATTTTACTATATTTTTCTAAAAACTTATTAACTTGACCTCGTATCATTCAAAGAACCTTCACAATGCTATTACAATGTCACATACATTTATAATAAGAAAATTATAATTTTGAATATTAAAGCTATATGGTAAATGTCCCAGTTTGCGACCATGACCCTGTTTGTGACCACTTTAAGACTTATATGTAATTAATCAGAAATTTCAAGTAATTTATCTCTGAAAACAATATTTATTACGTTTTTCAATTAATAATCCATCGTTTTGATATGTGATGTAGTGATATTTGGTAAACAGATAACTCATGAAAATGTGAAATAAGGTGCCCGTATCGTCATTAAGTGCAGATCGAGCAC